GCAACGCTTTAACACAAGACTTCAATTCTAGACTTTTTCAAAATGAACTTGAGTTTTTCAATTTGATTTTTAAAGTGTTTAATCTTTGAGTTTGGAAGTTTTATTGCCTTCTAAATATAAAATATGCTGGATCAGATCAAACTACCTCAACAGTCTTGCCCGGAGGCTGCCAGAACAGCACAACAACGTTTGAAGGAAGAGCGAGGATTATTAAAGGAGCACGGATTTGAGTTCAGACTTGAGCTCTACCCATAGAAAGACATAGGGCCGGCTGTGGATAAGTGGTAGTGGTTGTCTCTACCACATTGTCAACTGATAACAGTATTTGAGAAGCATACTACTGGCCTGTACTCTGGAACAAGTTTGCACTAGTGAGCCGTAACATAAGTAGATAATGAACAAAGAAAGACTTCTGTGTTGAGCCGAAGAAAGATAACTCATATCAACCTTGTTTAGGACGGGGAACTTGGTATGATCAGCCTTCCCAGGAGTGTGTATGGCAGTGAGAGGAGGAGGCCAGGAATGTGTCATCTCCTAAATACAGAAAAAAACACATTAAAAGGTCACATATTACACGAAATACACTGGGTGCACTCCCACAGCTATGGTGTGCAACGTTTCTTCTGTCACAAAGCAGGCTCTCTTTTAACCTGGCCAAAGATGCAATGAATTGCCGTTTCTTTCTTGATTATTTCCAGCTGATGTAATATGTACATAAAAACCTTTGAAATCAAACCGTTACATTATCAGAGCCAAAGAATTAAGTCATGTAGTTACAGCAGCACAAACTGTACGCACCGTGTTAACTCAGCAGGTACTTTGCCCTGATAACCTGTTGCTGTAACACCATGACTTCACAGTTTGGGATCAATAAAGTACATTCATACATCCAGACATACATCGCAACACCAATTTGTAGGAAGCCATTCAGTTATAGTGAAAAATACAAGAAAAAAAAAGCTTTCCATCACTTTTTTCTTTACCTTCTTTAGGTAAAATTTAAACTTTAAATGTCAGCTTTTCTTCTTACAGTGGAAGAACAATGAGGGCACAGCATCTAGGGACAGTTGATTAGGCAAAGTCTGTCAAGGTTGGTTTTACAGCTAAAACAGGAAGTGACCATTTCTGACCTAACTGTAGTTCCTGCCTACACTGATGAAATTATGTTTATCATTGTTGAAGTTAAAGAGTTGTTCTATACAAAGTTGAAATTAATACAATGATTTTCTGCAGCACCCCTCCACTTTCCTGTCCGCAGCAGCAGTGTAGTTTTTTTTTTACAGTTTCACCTCTCCATCCAGACAGCTGGATATCGATCCTTTTTGTGCAGAAGAAGCGTCAAATGATGCATCAAACAGCCCCTTTTGTGTTATAATGCACAGAGTCTGAAGGAGATGAACATTATCACAGCCTTTCGTTATACCCTTTATCTACAGTATAACTGAAACTTCAGACTATGTCGAGTCAGCTTACTCAAAGAAAGTCTGTATATGTTAAACCGGCTTTGTTGTAGCCTAAATCCCTCCATTAATGAATTGTGTTTATCTAAGTTTGCCCTCGTGTGGGAACTGGGAATAATACAGATGACTACAGTTGATGAAATCTAAGTAAAGGGACTGCTTATGCAACATCACTGCAGCCTTATACAGCCTTATACAGCAGGCCACGAGGTCAGAGGGCCTATAAGGTCAGTGACATCACAATTTGCCATCACGCTTATCTTCACCCCCTCTGGAGTTGATGATTCATATTCCTTAGATGACTCATGCTTCCATGTGTTAGCGAGTGTGTGTGTGTGTGTGTGTGTGTGTGTGTGTGTGTGTGTCTGGTGGGGGGGGTTAAAGTACTGAAGATTCAAGAGTATGAGTCTATTCCTTGTGCATGTTTTTTTCCACTCTGCTATCGTAATACACTTGGACTAGACATACGGCAAGTTGCTAGGCAACTCTTCTCTGACATCAACATGTTCCTAATAGAACAGGTCCTGCATTCTGAGAGACGTTACTCCTGACATTGTGAGTGTGTGAGTGTGTGTGTGTGTGTGTGTGTGTGTGTGTGTGTGTGTGTGTGTGTGTGTGTGTGTGTGTGTGTGTGTGTGTGTGTGTGTTTATTTTTATTTATTTATCTTTAATGTAAGCTGGGAGGACCCACAGAGACAGATGTCTGCATGAAACTACAGAGGGCAATTTAGCTGTCTTTTGAAAATAATTCCACATAGCAGCAATATTTTAAGGGCACCTACCCCGCAGGGTCCTAAATCCTGTATTTTTTGAGTGATCTAGTTATGAGATCTGGTTGAATGGCTTGAAATGTTTGTAGAGTAAGAAAGGAGTTTACCAATGAACGCTCATTAAAGGTGGGCGGCAGTAGCTCATTCTGTAGAGACTTTTTTTTTAAGTGCAAGTCCTGCCATGGACCAAAATTTGAAATTGCCCTGGTTGCTTGAGAGGTGCCAGTTCACTACATGGGTGCTTATGAGGTGTCCTTGAGCAAGGCCCAGAACCCCACATAGCTTAGGGCTGCCCCCTGTGTTTAGCCCTCTCACTCTCCATTAATTCATAGCCATAGATTATCCACATGTCCTGTTTGTGCAGGTGTATATTTTTAGGCTTTGTGTTTGAGTAGCATGTCTCCCAATTAAAGAGTCTAAACTTTTGCATGTGCATAGTTCAAAACTGGCAAATTTGTAGCCTGCACAATGTTTATTATATTTCTCACTGTTTGGCAGGAGTTTTTCCTATTAAAAAAGATGAGGCTTTAGTATTTAGTTACATTTAAAATGTATGACCTAAAAGGCAGATCCTGTCCTGAAGCAGCCAGATACCCAAAGGCAGATCCTGTCCTGAAGCAGCCAGATACCCAAGTACTTGAACTTTTTGTCACATTAAGTATTTACACGGTTGGTCAATGTAGCATTAATAGGATCAGTGTTAAGTTTTTAGAAAACCATGTTTTTTTTTTTAGGTTTTGGGACCAGATCTTAGAATAACTTCACCCAATTAGAAACAACAAAGTAGCGTGGTTTTTTGAGGGTGCAGAGGAATATAACACTGTCTCATTAGAGATTCATTTTAAATTTTATACATTTTCTTTGATGTCATTGTCTTTAATGTAAATAGAAGTTGCCCCAGGATAGATCCCTGGGGCACTCCTTTGCTGATCACCATGAAGGGTGACTTTACCTTATCTGCTACTATCATATGCTGGAACAAATTACAGGCAATCACTTCGAGACCAGTTGAAGATAACCTATGCTATGTAATATAGTGATAGACCATGTTAGGTCAAGGAAAAGGGCTACACAGTTTTCAGCCTTTCTCAACTTAATTTACAATTTCAGTTATCACTAGAGATGCTGCAGTGATTGTGCCATGGCCAGTTCTGATGAAAAGCACTTTGTGTGTGAGTGTTATTTCAAGATAAGAAAATGTGCAATTGCCAATTTACCAATGATTCCAATACTTTTGCCAGACAGGAATTTTTGCAGATGGGTCATCAGTTATTGACTTGACTCGGTCAACTCCTTTGAAGAGTGATGAGATGTGCACCTTTCAAGACTGTAGGGATTATTAAAAGTGATAAATTCAAAATATGAGTTTCTAGATCTTGTGATTTAAGAAAATGAAGTCCAGTTTGTCCCCCCCTAAATATTTAGTGTTTTTATGTTTATAAGAATTTGAGAACTTCTTCCTATTTTAATTCCTGATAGGAAAAGAGAGCACTGTGATCTGAAATATTTAAATTAAGGTTTTTTAATTAAACTGGCAGCACTGTTTTGATCCACAAAGCTATTTCCTGCTGCTTTCAACTGGTTCATGGTTTAATGGTGGTTAAAGATATTAGCGCTTGTTTATCAGACACAGGGCGCTTTTCAGTAGAGGAATTTAGTGCTCAGGGAAGGATGAAACAGAATTCAATTTCAGAGAGTAAAAGATTTAGTTGGGCTGTTTTAATATTAACATTTGATTTAGATTTTTTTTAGGCAGAGAATTTGTTTCTGAGTTTTCTGAAAATGCTTCCAATTGCTCACGGAGTCAGTCTCTGGCATCATAATTCATTTAAAAAATTTGACAAGTTTGATATTTCTTTTTTTATTTAACCGAAGTTACTTGAGGCTGGCATGCTTCTTTAAAATAGGATTAAAAGTTGTACAAAACTATGTGAGTGATTTATGGCTCGTGGATGAAAGTTAAACTTTGAAAGGTTACTCAAAATAAGTTTATATGAAATACTTGTTCAAAAATAGTTTTTCAATTGAATTTGGTAACAAAAGAAGATGGAGCTTTAAAGATAGAGTTAGAAGCTTTTCCTAAAAATAAAATACAAAAGTAATACAGCTCTATCATCCCTTCTGGGCCTCCATACATGTTTGGTGTTGACTGTGTCTGCAGAGACCCTGTCCTCTGTATGGATTTTGAGGTTTTGGTTGACTCGTGGCCGTCTCTAGGTGGGGAGGATGTGTTTCCTCAAGCCAGGAACGGCTCGTAGGTTTAGGAGTGGAAACAGTTCAACAATTAGACGTGATTCAAATTGACGCATATGACGGACGTGGATGTAGCAGCAAAGCAGAGAAAATATCATCATAGTGAGGTGAAACGCCAAGCGGATAAAGCTTGTTCCATAACGAGGGTGAACCTTGGGTGGCTTTTATCCATAGACGCAGAGTTGGCCTGCTATCTGTTGGACAGGCAGGTGCCAGACACCGGTGTTTAGCCCGTGCTAACGTGCTGTAGCTTGCGATAGAAGCTGTATGTACAAGCTCTGTCCTTCAGCGAGTGTGTGCTTCTGCGGAGGCGATGAGGCACATAAAAGAGTTGCAAAAACAACCTAAAAGCCAGATATTTGAAAACTTCCAAAATGATAAAAATAAACATAAATAACCCTAATCCTTATTTGAACTCATACCCTAAACCATATTTTGAAAAATAGTATAACACAATGGAGCCTCAGATAGAAAAAGGTTAATTTCTTTACCATTAAATTGTCAAAATTCTCCTTGAGAAGTCAGTCAATTTTTTCAAAGATCTGATTAAAGATTGTGCAACATCAGCATCAAGCAGGTTCTGTACACCTTTTTTTTGATACACGTAGCTGCCTCAAACTGTAAAAAAAGATCAATTACAATAATGTTGCTTTGACATCTGACAAGTATCTCTAGTGTCAGACCAAAAGAAAATGAACCTCAGGCCCTCCGCTCAGATTCACCTCACCTCAAAGGTTGAACTCCCTGATCCTTTCACTTGACACGGCTTAGAACCACAGTCTAAATTCACCAGTGCACCTATGTTATTGACAGAGGCTTTTTCATCGAGCTCACAGCATACTATCTGTCAGGCAGCCTCTCGGCCAGCATATTTGTTTGTGAAAGAGAGAGGGGTGAATGACAGGGGGCAGGAAGGATTATAGAAAAGAAGGCAGAGGCGGAGACTGAAGGAGAGAGCAAGCCCAACCATCGATTTGACATAGAAGAGAGAAGAGAGTGACAAATAAAGATGGAAGGAGAGATCGAAGAAGGGAAGTAACTGTGAAAAGGA